CGCCACAGTATCAGCTCCAGAGTGATCCAATCTCAGTATGACTTTCCGAGGACCAATCCAGGCTTGACTCTGCGTTGTAAAAGACCCCGCCACTCAGAGCTGAAGAGCTGCCTTGGTGAGTCTGCCTTTCATCAGCAGAGCAGGGTTACTGTTTTGGGTTCAGGTCACCCCAGTGATTAAGTGAGAGGAAACACACACACACACACACACACACACACACACACACACACGTGGTTTCAAATACCAGACACCATGACTTTAGCAGTAATGAATGCTGGTAGCCAGAAAGGCTTTTGCAGAACCAAGACAGAATTTCTTACTACATAAGAGACTTGCATTTGCTCAAAGACAGAGTATAAAGTTTACTTAAACTGATGCTAAAAATAGTGGAGCCTGGCACGACGGTGCATACCTATAACCTCAGCACTCAGGATAGTAGAAAGTTCAAGCCCAGTTTGTGCACCTTGGTGACTTAGGGACACTCTGTCTCAAAGCGAAAAACTAAAAAGCCTTTAGGACATAGCTCAGTGTACAGGTCTGGCTTCAATCCCCAGTAGCACATCCATGTACATCAAGAATAAGCATAAGGTTGTTTTGGCTGGATAAGTTTGTTTCAGTCATGGAGAAAGATGCACAGAAAAAAACAAAAAAAAATTCCCCCAATGTTTTCCTATTATTATAATTCAGTAGAGAGAAGGAAACACAAAAAGCAACTCTTTGGAATAACTGAGGTCGCATAAGAAGAAAATCACGGTGCTGGCTGAGATCTCCAGCTCACCTTCAGTTATGACAGGACTCACCTCACAGCTGCCTCTGCTTGGCCTCTGATGGCTCTGAGAGACCAAGTCACACTGTGAACACACAATGCCTGAGGTGCTGAGTCTCTCTCTAGTGTCACTATGGGGGAAGCACTGGGAATAACAGGTCTCGACATCACAGACACCTGTCTGAATTTATTCTCACCTTAATGCTCTTTCTTGAGGTTAGTTACTTCATTCAAAATACGTTTTCTATCATGAAAATGTGACAGGTCCATAAAGTAGTCTGGTACACTGACAAATGTGCATTCTAGAATTTTCTGGAAAATTCTAATAGGTACCACAAGTTATATGCAAGGAAAGTGTTTGAGTGTTTTAATTGGTAAATTCTGTGACATAAGATCCCATACTGTTAAATATCCAATCACTTACTAATAGATGTCTGCAAACTTAATCGCCAGGTGAATGTGTTACCTAGAAAGACAAATCACTGACTTTCTTTAGAATGTTTTAAGTGGATCTATTAGAACTTTTAAACATTTATTTTCAAACAAGATGAACCATTATTTAATTTCAATAATTTCAATCTCCAAAGCTATTTCCTTGATTTGTATTTTCTACTCACATTGGCTAAGAAATAGCCACTGATTTTGCATAGATAAATTGCTTATAACAATTTTTTCACATTTTTATGAGATTTATCATCTTTTTTCTACTCTTTGTCTACTATCTGGTTCCAAAGACAATGTGACATGTTTAAATTTTTTTTGGCATGATTCCATTTGCAGGCCTAAATTTACCTTTTAAGTATCTATTGCAGAAAAATGATCCCAAAATTTAATGATTCAAAAAACAAAACAAATCAAGACAATGATTCACTGTTTCTCCAAATGTGTGGGTCTGGCCAGCAGTGCCCACTGGCCTTACCCAGGCACACACCCAAGTGGCCACAAGCAGGCCCGCGTCAAAGAGGCCGAAGATCAGAGGTGCTGGTGCTGACTCAGGAGCAAAGCTGCTCATCCGAGTTCCCACGAGCTGGACAAGGCTGCTGCCCTGTAGGGCTGGGCGAGGAGGAGGGAACAAGCAGACCTTGCACCCACTGAGGTGGGCTGAGTTTTGTCCACCCCAAATCCACATTTTGGATTCTGACCTCCTTGGGGTGGTGTTTGGAAAGTGCTGAGTCTATATTGAACTCCAGACCTTCAACTGTACCCGCAGGAGCCCCAGGGTGCCCACAGACCTTTTGCGCCCTTCCGTACCCGACTCTGTGAGCCAGTCTTATAAATTCTTATCTATCTGTGTGTCTTGTCTTTACTAACTCTCTTGCTCTCGTAGCACTGACTGGTACATGGTCCATTAGTGGCTGGAACTGAAAAGAAACATTGGAGAAACTGTCTTCACCTTTCAGAAGAAGGTTCCAAACACTTAGGCAACTCCGGGCTCCTGAGCCACACCTTACCTCTTCCATCTGCCAGGCCTGTCCACCTCACACTCTGGGAGAAGCCAATGATGTTGTAGTCCGGACCACTCAGGCCCTGCCTGCTGCCCTCTGGCCAGTGTCCTTTCCTTCCATCCTTCCTGTGCTTCCTGGTCCAGCCACGCCGGCTTCCAGCCCTGCATCCCAGGCCAGCTCTCTCTTGAGCATGTGCTGGTACCCTTGTCTCCAAGTTTTCTCTGTCCTCACGGTGATGTCATGGTTTGTAGTCTGTCTGCTCATCTTACCTTAGAGGCCACCTTATCCCTGTGCTGCTACCTGGACACCAGTGACCACTGCTCCTCTGTTCCCTGGGCAGGATGTCCCCTTCCTGGAGTTGGTCTTCTTTGCAGTGATGCCAGCCTTCACAGGTTGTATCTGATTTAATTTCACAGACTCACCTTCAGTGTCACCTGCTGCAGAAGGCAGGTGCTTCCATGTGACATTTGCTGTGGAATTGCAAAGTGGAGTGTAGGGCAGAGGTTCCTCCAGCATCCTGAGATGGACTCCAAGCCGCCATTCATTGAAGATGCAGCTGACTCATTTGGAAGCAATTAAGACTCACAAAGATATGCACGGTTCAAACTTTTATGACTGACATGAGCAGAATTTTCACCTAGAGCAAGTTTGAAACTAGGAGTCTCATGGATCTGTCTCTGGGGCTCCCACTTTGGGACTTGATGACGAGTATTTTAGGAGGCTGAGAATTAAGTGGAACCAAAACCAATTTTTACCATCACAGTTGTTTTTAGGATCATAAAATATACATCATAACATTTATCATTTTAAGTATAAAACTCTGGGGTTTAGAATATTCACATTGTATAGCAGTCATTGCTATCATCTATTTCCAGAAACTCTATACATATTAAAAACTAGCCTCTGGTTACCTCCTTTCTCCAACACCTGCTAACCTGCGCTACTGCCCCACTGTACTGCTCTTCTCCCCTCCCCTCCCCTTTCCTCTCCTCCCCTCCCCTTTCCTCTCCTCCCCTCCCTTTATTTTCCTGATCTTTCCTTCCCTCTCTCTCTGAATTGAATCACTCCAGTAATATCATATAAGTAGATTCATTCCAAAAAATATTCACCATAATATTCTTTCTATTTACAAATACTGCTGCAGATATCAAAGCCTCATTCTTTTTTTAAGATTAAAAAATATTACATTACAATAAATGGAAATGACACATGTATTGATTATCTATAGACAGACAATTGTTTATCCTTTTAGGCTATTATGAAGGGTGCTTTTGTAACTACTGGTCTACAGGTCTTGGGATCCCTACTTTAAATCCTGCAATGCACCTAGAAGTGGGCAGCTGGAGCAGGCAGCAGTTCTGTTACTGTTGGAGGAAAACCGGCATGATGTCCTACACAGTGGCTGCACAGCTGGACAGATCCATTGGAGACGCAGGGAGTGGCTCACCTTACACATACTCACCAGCATTTCCATTTTTCATTTTTTTCTTTTACATTGTGTTTCTTTCTTTCACCCCCTAATAAGCCTAAATTATGATACAGCAAGTCTAATTACATGGCCTGACAGTATAATGAGAGAGGCACAGCTCCAGATCATCACCCTGGGAAACAGAAAGGGAAAAAGAAGCAGTGTGGGCCTCCAGGTCAGCAGGTCACCATGGAAAACTGATTAACAGACTGGCAACGCCGGGCCTGAAGTCACATCGCTCACAGCCTACAAATGTATGGAGGTGATTCCCGCTAAAAGAGAGGCTGAGTGCTTGAAATACAGACAGGATAGGCAGAGAGGGGAAGGCAGAGGAGGGGAAACAGAGAGATGGGCAGAGACAGACAGAAAGACCTAGAGATGGACAGAGAGCCAGAGAGGCAGGAGAAATGCTGCATGAATGAAAACCATATTATTTGACCAAATCTTTTCCTCTAATTCTTTTCTTCATTTCTCCCAAAGCCAAACTCTACTGTCGTGCACCAAAGTGTGTAAGGGTGCGCCCTTCCCAGAGTGGTGGGGTGATGGGAGTGTGACCGGAAGTGTCTGCAGTAGAGGTTGAGGAGGGCTGGGCTGTCCTCCTTCTTTCTGGGTTCATGTTCTTTCTTGCAAGGTAGAAGGTATTATATGCTAAGCACAAGGAAACTGGGCCAGAGGTGAGGCAGTAAAAATCCACAATTTTCTGTATGTTGTTATTAAATAAAATAATAAATACATAAATTAAATCCTTAAAGAAATAAAATAAAGCATTAATGGAAAATAGGCAAAATAAGGGAAACAAGAAAGGACAGCACCCTTTGCAAAACAAGAAATGTGAAAATTTAAAATTAGAAGCAGAAGTGCATATTTACAAATGTGAAAAAGTATAGAAACCAACCTAATTAATGTGAAAAAAATACACAAACTATTTTAGTGATAAAGAATATAAACAAATATGCGGAAGGCACTGATATTTAAGAGGATGTTCTGCAGAAATATTTGCCAATACATTTAAAAACAAATCATTTTCTAAGAAATTAATTTAGTTCAATTAGCAACAAAAAGAATAAACCCAATTAGACCAATAACCATGGAAGCGGATTATGTTCCCACAATTTAACTGTGACAATGCAGTGGCTGTAACACTGAACAGCACCATGAACCCTTCAAACAGAGACAGGAAGAGTAACAGAGTGACCAGAGTGACAAGCTGCCCTGGGGACACAGAAGCAGGAAGAATAAAAGCAATGTGGCTGTGCCTTATCCAGGGCTCATTAAGATTCAGTGGCCGTGCTGGCCAAGTTGCAGAGTCATTCCAGGCAGACTGGGACCCAGCTCCAGGACGTCAGCCCGGACACAGGACTCTGGCACTTTCTTCTCTCCTGTTGGTTGTCACGGAAATGTGGTCTCTTCGCAGCCAGAAAACCAGTGCCATAAACAACTGGAGAGATGGCCCTGCGTTTGCTGTCCAGAGGAAGGTGAGCTTGGTCCTCCGTGACTCTGGAGTCACAGGTGATGACTGGTGAACCACTCAGCTGCCGCCAAATTCCTCTTTGGTTCTAACTGAGCAAAAGTGGGAACTTCTGACCCAACAGTCAGTAGAATTAGTGTGAATCTGCTCAGCCCAGCCCAAGCTACATTTACAGGAGATAGTGCATTTGGAGTATAAATTAAAGTGCAAAGGGTAAATGTATTAGCAGAAAAAAAAAAAAAAAAAAAAAGATAAATTTGGTGCTTAGGGAGAAAGTTGATTTTCTGTGTTTTGTTTGTTGTTTTTCTGAACTTTGAGAAGCTATTACCTACAAAAGAACTCCCAAAATCATAATAAAAGTCACCACAGAAATACACACATGGATTGTTCCAAGAACTTCCATGAGGCTATAGTGAAGGAGAATGTAAGTCCTGTGACAATTTTGTACTAGTTCTTGAGATTTTCCACCTGAAGGTCCCAGGCACTGGGTGTCTCTGACCATACCTGAGACCCGTGGTGGGAGCGCACTTCACTGGGACTGAGGGACACACGCCACTTTCACCTTCATCCTCCACTTTATACTACAGAATCCGACTCCACACTCCACAGTTCCCCTCTCCTGCACACGTCCTTGGAAGCTCGGTAAAGAAAGCGATTTCTGCCTCTGTCATGTCAGAAAGTTCCAGGGTGTGGCTTCCGATTTCTTCTAGCTCATTGTGTTTGGAGTTGTCCCAGTTAGAGGTCTGGGGTTGAATTTTCTTCTGCTGCTTGTCATTTTTCTATTTTCTGTTTTTAGTTTCTGTGTTGGGGTTTGTAGATTGCTTGGGGCAGATAGCCTTATCACTAGTAGTGAGACTTCTGCAGGAAATGTCTATTCCTCAGAGATGTCTTCCGGGTGTAGGCTGATTTGGTGTTTCTGTCTATCCCAAATCCTGCCTTCCCAGTGTATTAAGGACGAGAAGTTGATATCTGCTTGGCTTTGCATCCTGTACTTTGGTGCTGGTCTGTGGTGATAGCTATGACTCCAAGTAATCACAATGTTGTCATACAAGGGAGAAAAATTGATTACACCAAGTGTGACATCCTGGTTGAAATAGGACAATTAGCAATAATGATAACATCAAGCACAGCCTAGCAACTGAAAAACTTTGGTTACTATTGATTTGCTAACTTAAACCATGGGAGCAAGCTCTCCAGTTATATTACAAAATCTAGCACAAGCCAGGAACTCGTGTGCTCTGAGTTTCCACTTGGTCGATTGATTTTACCCTGTCTTGTGGATATCTAATAGGGAAAGGGGACCAAATAGAGAGATGAAAGAGGACAAATATAGTAGAAGCAAAGTGGTAAGGTAAGAATGACCACCCAAATCCTGGGGGCAAGCAGGAGAAAAAGAGTGAAAGAGAAAGCAGAAGAATGTTAAAGCAAAACAGAATGAGCAGAGACAAGGTTCACTCGCATGAAAGTATCATGAATGTTCCACATCACTGATCATTTGAGAGAAGCAAATTAAAACAACCCTGAGATTTCATCTCACTCCAGACTATCATCAGGAAATCAACCAATAACTAATAGTGGAGAAGATACGGGGGAAAGGAACTCTTTTCCAAGTTAGTGGGAGTGTAGACTGGTGGAAATCAGTGTGAAGATTCCTCAAAGGATTAGAGGTCCCTTTCAGTTATTTTCCTTCTGGATATCTTCCCAGAAGAACTGAAAACATAATAGCACAGTGACATATGTGCACCCATGTTTATAGCAGCAATGTGAAATAGTTAAATCTTGGTAATAACCCAAGTGCTTATTAACAGAGGAAGGAATTTAAAAAGTTGTGTTTCTTTTATGACATAAAGAAAGATAAACTTGAGACATTTCTTGGTAATGGTTGTGCCATGAGACCATATTCTTAATTGAAACAAATTGGTCACACGTGTATAAATATCACACTGTTTCTCTGGTGTAAGAAACCAAAAGGACCTACTATGTAATAGTTATTGTGTAATAGGAAGACACTGTTCAAAAAAAAGGGCACCTAGGAAGGTGGAGAGGGAAAGGAAGGAAGGGACAAGAACAGTGATGAAAGAAGGATAAAATAGAAACAGCTTTGCAAAAAGGAGGGAAAGAGTGGTTGAAGGGAGGGGAGGGAATTGGGAAAAGAGGAATCAAGACCTATCGTGTGCAGGTCCATATTCCCTGAGTGAGTATGGTCACATGTGTATCTAAATTGTACCAATAAACTTAATCAAAATAAGAAAGCAGCTAAAAGTCTACATTCCTACTTTATATTATTAATGGAATGATGTATGCTTAAAGAAAAACAAAGTGGACAAAAAGAAACCACACCCACAGGAACTGAGGTTAATTCATGGCAATTGTGTTCAGTCACACGCTTTCTCCAAATTGCTTCTGCGCAGAGTAGCCGTGAAACTGTGGATAACTTCCATGTGATCAGAGGACTCTATTTGTCTAATAGCGAGCTTCATTTACATTATGAATTATGTTTCTCCACAGTGGCTATAAACCTGTTCTCAGGGAGAGAACCTAGAACATCCTCGCCAGTACAGAGGATTTGGGCTCCTTATCAGATCATAGGAGGGCAATGCTCTGTCAGTGTCAGAAGTGAACAGGGGCACCGCCAGCGCTTAGCCTGGCCCCAGGGTCCAGGGGACATTCACCCTTCCTGCTACAGGGACGGTTAGCAACAGCCCCTCCCTGGCTGTCCCTGTGATCATCTGCAGAGCTAGAATGGAAATCAGTTGGAGAGGTGAAGGGGTCCTCTCAGCACACTGTCCCTAACCAGCGGGCTATCTCTAAACCAGGTGTCAGCCTTCCAGCCAATGGAAAATGAAATGTTAGCTCCTCAGCTGTGACAGCCAGCAGACTCTTCACACTTGCTCTGTTATTTCCTCTCCCCCTGGCCTGGCGTTTCCATTTCCTCCTTTGTTTTCCTATTTTTATTATTTGTCTATTAGTTCATGCAGGAAATGCGGGCATAACTTCCTCAATCCCACTTCCCTTGGCCAGAGAAGAGGTCTGGAGACAGTGCGGCAGCCCCGACCTGCAGCACAGCTCCCCCTGGTCTCCAGCAGTAGAAGGAGGCGAAGTCCTGGCCCTAGAACTACAACTTACCTAGAGCAAGGCTTACCTCACAGAACATCTGGCACAGAGCCCATCTGGAGAGAAACACTGAAAGGGAGACCCCGCAGAACTGTGGAAACCCAGCACATAGCAGCACATTCAGAGCTAAGTGTCTGAGGTCCCAGGAGAAAGATGAGCGAGGTTGTGCAAATATTTTTCTGAAATTAACAGATTTTGCAAATGACCTGCTTTTCTGCCAGCATGCTTCAGGCCAGACTCTACTATGACTTTTTGCTCTCGGGACTAGTATGTTCCTGTTTGTTCTTATTCATTGCCGCCCCTAAGAGTTGTGGCCAGGATCCTTCATGGTGCAACTCCAGCCTAGGCTAGGCTGCCATGAGATGCCGTGTGCATTTCTGCCATATTAATAGTCCTTGTACATTTAAACTCTTTTCAATGCTACCAACAGTTTCGATGACCCTAAGAAAGTGTCCTATTAAATAGCTGATTAAACTTCAACATTGTCACCCTGATTTTAAGGCTGTCCACACATCTCTGCCTGATGCCCAAATACCCAGTGCTTCAGGCAAATTGTTTTGAGTGATGTTGCGATTTGCTGAAACGGCTGATGAGCTCGTCTGTAGGAGGCTTGCAGAGACACCTGAAGGGGGAAGGTGCTCGCTGGCAGCGTGATGGCTGGCGGGCTGGGAAGAGAGGCAATCACAAGACTGTCAGGAAGGGAGCCACGGCACCAGGAAGCCAGCTAGTGGAGCAATGGTGGAGGAGAAGGGAGTTGCAGAGAAGGACTCGGCCCTGCTCCTCACTGGCTCCTGGGGAACTTTCTGGAGAGGAAGTGCAGGGGGCGCTGTGAGCGCTAGCTCTGGTGGAGGTACTGACAGGCTATTTCTTTGCGATCCCCTTTTGAGGATCCACAGATACTGCAGGGTCCTCAGTTGCTTCAGGGGTGGGTGTTATGTTAGTGAGCATGAGCAGGGTTCCAGACTTCAGTTCCACCTTCTGCTACCCTGGGGGTCTTGCATGGGGACATTTTTGGGTGTGTACGGTTTCTCCCTGAAGGCTCACACACAGGAAGGAGGTTTGCACCCGAACATGGCCAAGTGCAGAGGTAGCAGAGGTGGAGCCTTGTGGAAAATACAGTTCGGAACTCTCACTGTCATGAGTTCATCAATGCAGACTCAGCGCCATGAGTCAAGGCTCAAGGGCAGGGGTGGGGGCAGTTCCCTCAGCATGGGCCCTTTCCAGTGACCCTAAGCAGCACAGTGCTGTGCATCATGAGGCCTCGTCCCGGCAGAGCAGATTCTGGCACTGTGTGCTCCAATCTCTGGGGCTGTGAAATAAACATCCTTCTGTCCTCTGTAAAGTACACAGCTTATAATATTGATAGGGAAATCAGATAGAACATGAGAAGAAATGACATGGAGAAGGTTCAATAGCCCATTGGGCTTGACTGGGTTCTTTCTAAAGAGTCAGAGCCTCGCCCGGCAGGGTTCTGGGACTTCTATGGGGAGATCCAGGGGGAGGTACTGGTGGGAGATTTGGCACACTTTGACTGCAGGGTGGGTGACATGGGCTGCTAAGGGTGTTTAAACATTTAGGTTATACTGCAAGGCCATTGGTTATACAAAGAAAGAAATATCCTTTCACATTTTAAATTCCATTACAAGGCCATCAGTTAGAAAAGGTTACAGAAAGGAAGGAATTTCCTGTTACAAGCTTTCCTGGACATGGACATGTCCACCTGGCTTTGGTCAGCATCCTTGGCAGTCTCTCTTGGCAGGCTTTAGATTTTTAATTTCCATTTTAATAGTACCCAATGGACTGAGACAAGACACTTAACCTCCTTTACCCCATTCCACATCTGCAGGGGTAGGTAATGAGTGCCTTCTTCCTAAGACTGCTGGAATGATTGAGTTACTCAAGCAAAGCAGCTTCACAATGCCCGGCCTCTCACTCAGCACCAGTGATGGCTTTTGTCTCCTCCACAGACTGCAGGGGGCCTGGAGACAGAACCTGGATGTGTGTCCCACATGCAGAGTGAGCTAGGCCAGGGTGCCCTGCTCCAGTGACATCTCTCATCTCATTTACACAACAGCAGTGGTCATCAACACAAAGCCCAGTGTGGAGGGGAACGTGATATTTGTCCAAGTCTGCTCTGATTTTCCTTAAGATTCAGGTTTTAAAAAAGAGTTAAGATTTATGAGAAGAGAAAAGTAATTGGGGCAAGAAACAGGAATCTGATGATCTCACAAGTCAACCCGAACAGGCACTTCAATTTTATTTGATTCCTGTTGAGCTGCTTCCCCTTAAGAAGACACTTAAGAAGCCAAACTTAAGTGCAAGTTAAATCAGGCACCGGAGAGCCAGCTTCTCAAGTATTTTCATCCCACTTGACTTCCCTAAAGATCCTCTGAGTTCACATGGCTATGAACTGCTAGACTAGGAATTCAAAGTCGAGCTCCAGCTTGAGGTGAACAAAGATGAGGAAGTTATTTCCTGAGTCTGGGAAGCGATAGGGAATCAAATCAGAAGGTCAGTGTTACTAACTTGTGTTTCTCTCCCTAATGTAGATGCCATTGAGAAAACTTTGATGTGAGGTAATAAAATAAATGGGACATTCAGGGGGAAATCTAACCTGTTAGTGTGGGGAAGATGAGAAGTATTTATGTCCTGTGAATGAATTAGTGAAGGCTGTATCAGGGTCTGCACATCAGAACCAGCAAAGCAAGCCAGAGGCGCAGGAAAGGTTCGTTTTCTGTGTCCATGTGCCATGTATGTGCATGCACACATGTATGCGTGTGTGTGTGTGTGTGCGTGTGTGTGTGTTGCTCTGTGTTACAGCCTTGGCAGGGTTCAGTGGGCCTGGGCAGGATGAGGATGTAAGCTACAGGAAGCCCCTGATAAGTCATAAATAAGCCTCTGGCATGGAGAATGGCGATGCGGGGCCCTCAGGGTGATCTCAGAGCCTCACTCCCCTTTCTGGGCACGTCTAGGGGAACCCGACACACACCGCACTCGAAAAGTTTTCTTCAAGCTGGGGCACCTTGGAAGGTGAGGTCACCCAGGGTGTCAGGGGGGCTGTGGAGCGAAGCAGCTGCTCAACAAAGGACTGGCTGGGTCTCCATCCCTCCAGGGACAGCAGGCGGCTGCAGCACCTGCGCGCTCTTCCCTTTCTCTCGCACTTCAACATAAGCAGAAGCAACCTTCCACACGCCATGGGGCTGCAGCCAGCTGGGTCACTGTGTCAGCTTAGCAAGCAGCACTAGGCCTCCTCTTTCCACCCCTTCACTGTTTCCTCCTCCTCCTTTGCACTTTCTTGTAGAGTGAGCCAAGCTGCCATGTCATGCTTCTGCCCCATGGAGAGGCCACTGAACAAGACAAGGAGGAGAGCCTCTGGCCAATGGAGACAGAGACACAGAGACACAGAGAGAGAAGCACAGCCCAAGACCTCAAAGCGTGTGTGGAAAACTGGACCCTTCCGATCAGTATGCGGGAGAACCTGGCAGTGACTGTCTCTAGCAAGGCCCTGAAGCTCTCGCAGGGACTCAGAACCACAGCTCCATGAGCCTCCTCACCCTTAACCCATGGAAACTAGGGACAATAACCACATGTTTGGGGGTAGTCTGTTATGCAAGAATGGGTAACTATTACTCAGTTGTGTTAGGCAGCTTCCTGGTGCAGTGAGAAAGGTTCAGAGGCTCTGGTCCAGGACCAGCCGGTCCAGCTACTCTGAGGCTGCGGTGAGGGAGTATGTCAGGGCAGGAGCTCGTGGAGATGCCATGTGCCCGTCCCACAGTGGCCAGCAAGCAGGGGGAGGGACATGAAGGGGCGGGGTCCCCATCTCCCCTTCCAGGGTCTCCCCAGGACCAATGTGCCTTTCACCAGGTCCACCCCATAGAGGCTGTAACCCAGAGCCACACAGGCGAGCAGCCAACCTTCCTGAGTGAGCCTTTGGACACTAAGCCCCAAACAGCAGCCACCCAGGGACTCACATGGAACCGTTTTTGCTCTGCCCTGTGCTATTTGGTGGCATTCCAGTTTCCATTGTTTTGTTTTTATTACACTTCTTTCTGTTTGCTGGCTGGTTTTCAGTATTTTCAGTGGGTTACACAAATGTCCTTCAAACCAAAATGCTCATAGCAAGACCCATTCTCGCCCGCTCACTGAGAAGCATGGGGACCACTCACTGGGAAGCACGGGGAGCACTCACTGGCCTCTCCTGCTGTGAGGGACTTTGGTGGGTTAGGTGGCTGGTCTCACCCCTCTTTAGAAACCATCTGTGACTCTTCTTTCAGGAGAACACATCTCTTCCTCCTCAGAGTTCACTGACTGCCCCTTTGAACCTTCTTCTCTGCAAGTGCACATCTCCCGACATCTGGAAGGAGGAATCCTTGTACTTCACACTTGTCAGAGCCATAGTCAGTGGTGCAGTGTCTACACAGCACTTCTGGAGCATGGAGCTTGCCTGTTGATTTTCACTTTTGCTCATATTACTTGTGCTTTTGGGTTTTTTTTTTGTTGTTGTTGTTTTTGTTTTTGTTTTTGTTTTTTTTTTAAACACAGGAATCTTGGTTCACCACAGTCACTTCCTGAGTCTGGGAAGCAAAGAAGAATCTAGCAGAATCAGGAAAGTGTCCTACAGCATCCAGCAACCCCAGAGAACCTAGAACATCCATCATGGGAGACAGACCCTTCCAAGGAGCCCATGTCCAGGGCTGCTGTGCTCTGGGGACAGGTAGGAGCAGGACCAGCCCACGGGGACCCCAGGCTGGGTGGCAAGGTGGTCAGCACATGGAAGTAACCCAAGCATTCTGTGGTTCACGGAAGTTCAGAACCACATCATGGCCAGGGGTAGGGCACACACCTCCGATCCCAGCATTTTGGAAGGCTGAGGCAGGAGGATAACAAATTTGAGTCCAGTTTGGACAATTTAGTTACTTAGTTACTTTAGTTACTTAGCAAGGCCCTATCTCAAAATAAAATAAAATTTAAAAAGAGGTAGGGATTTGGTGCAGTGAGAAGGTCCTCACTCAAGCCACATTGCTGCAATAATTTAACCTATTTATTAAATAAACAAAACCTAAACAAAATGAAGACAATCACAGAAAAAACAAACCATGGCATGCAGACAACAGACAAGACTGTGGGTTGCCAGCCAAGTAACCAAGTCATATTCTAGGTAGCTGGAAGTGCTCAAAAGGTGCTGTTGATTATCAGCCTGTGTAGTAACAGCTAAAAGAGCTGAAAGATCAGGCATAAAAGCATGTGGAGCTTTCTCTTAAGGTGCAGCCCCCAAGGAAGGAGTAGGAGATGGCACAAAGTGATGGTGGCTTTGCCATCCTTAGCAAGTGCTGAGCCAAGGGCATAACATGAATTTAACTGGAATGGCCATCCTGGAAGGTTGCGTTTGTTGACTTTTCTTTTGCTGGAAACAGAACCCAGCTCAAAACTTAGAGGACATAGAATTTAACTGACTCACATTTTCGGGGGATTCAGTCCATGGTTGGCTTCTCCAAGACAGCAGCATCATGGCAGAAGAGTTTGGTGCAGCAGGGATGTATACCTAATGTTACCTAGGAGCAGAGCAAAGAACAAGTGCCAGAAACGAGTGGACAAGATACCTTCTGCAGCCCCTCAGGTAATGCTTCTACGACCCACCCAACATACTCAGGAGTCCCCTCTGTCCTCGGTGAGGCTGTTTGGAAAGCAGTGAAGTTGACATGTCGGGTGTGTAGGTCACACAGGCTCCCTCCGACCCTGAAGAAGCAACAGGTCTTGTGTAGACTGAAGCGCTGCTGTGAGGTGGCCTCTTCAGCAGTTTAAGATTTAATGAGCATCAGAGAATCCATAGGCCCAGCATGCTTTCTCCTGGCTCTTAACCTTGCCCCACACTCGGTGTGATGCTTAGGAGAAATTCCAAAAAGAAGCACTGTGACGGGACCTGGACAGGGACCTTTCCTTTGTCATCACTGAAGAGCAGGAGATAACAAAACTCATTGATTGGATATTGTCCTTGCATTCGGGCACAAGAGCTCCCTTCCGGGTGTCCGGGATAGGAGAACTGAGTTCAGTCTTAAAGGATGCTATGCGTGTAGCTCATCCTCAAAAAGAAAACGGGCACCAACAGAGGGGCCTGGCACTAGAAACCTTGTTCTAACCAACAAATACTCACTTTTCTAAGGGGAAATGCCCCGCCACATCCACGAGTTCAAAATATATTTGTATCTTACTTTTCTTCACCTACATTTTAAAAATAACAAAATAAAATAGATGATAACCAATATATGACATTTGTCAGTGCTGTGTCAAGAAGCAAAAGATGTATTTCAAGATGATATACATGCGCATAATCATCCTGAGCATGAGTTATACATGCAGGAAACATTTATAACCATGTTTGCACAGGCATTTTGAGAGTCAAATACAATACTGATTGTTATATTCCTTGCAGCCTTTTTAAATTTCTTTCAGCATTGGGGATTGAACTTAAGGTTTTTTACTAAACTACCTTCACATCCTTTATCATATTTTATTTTGAGACAGTCTCACGAAATCACTAAGCTGACCAACCTAACCTTGAGTTTGGGATACTCCTGCCTCAGCCTCCCAGAGTGCTAGGATTACAGTTGTGCTCTACCACGCCCAGCTTACTTTAGATTCTAATGTATTCGGTGAAGAAATGAATTGGGCTTTCATCTTTAAAATGATGAAGCACAGCACATAATTGCAGCTAAAGGAGGAAAAACCTAGAATCTTTGGCCTGGAAAAGGGGACCTCACTCATCTGAGCGAGATACTGAGAAGCAGAAGCACTTTGCTGGCTGCCCCAACCCCCAGCAGGTCTCCCTTGCCCGAGCCTGGAGCCCTCTTGACATCAGGCTACCCTTCACGGTGATGCCCTGTGGCCCAAGATGGGCAGACAGCAGCAGCCTGGCCATCCCTGCTCACTGAGGCTGCAATGCCCATAGAGACAGGAGCAGGACTGCGGCCCTGCACGGCTCCCCTCTGTCTCCGGATGAGCCTGTGAAGTCTCCTCCCGGGAACCAGCTTCTGCCACCCTCGTGTGCAGGTGGAGAAGGGCCACAGGGCTTTGCACACTGCATTTAATCCTTGAGAAATGTGTGACACTTGACAAATAGGTTAAAATTAAAGCTCTTTCTGCCCATTGTGAGGGCAGATAGCTGATGGCCAGCAGAGCCTGAAAGCTAGCTGGGAGGGCTCCAGTGTGGATGTGGAAGGAAGTCATTCTCAATTCCTGTGCCCCTTAATAATGTGGTGCAAAGTTGGCTACTGAGTGACAGGGAATCCCATGGAAACTGTAATAAGGATGAGGAGCCCCGTGCTATGTCCAGGAGGGACACGTGACAGAGTTTTGGCAGGGGATGGTGGCTACTAATGACCTCACTGGGGACTCTGCTTCTCCAGACACAAGGAGCGGCCACTAAAACGTGCTCTGGGTGTCAACGCCGCTGCAGCCCTGGCACCTGTTGTGTCTCCTCCACCGCCTCTGGGACACCAGTGTGTCCCGTTCCTGCTCCTTGCAGCTGCTCTGTGCTGCCACGCACCTGGGCACACTGCAGAGAAGCCCTCTCTGCCCGTCTCTCTCCATTGCCTTTGTCTCGGGAGTGGAGCTCGCAGCCCTCTTGCTTTCTGGTGTCAGATTTAGCTGATGCACTGCGACATTACTCTAACAGTATGTGACAGGCTCCATGCAGAGGATTGATGGGACGCGTCCTGGGAATCCATCCTCCATCATTAAGCAAGGCGCCACGAGTGAGGCCATCAGTCAGGAGCCACTGCCGAGTCCACCAGGCTCAACTCTGCAGTGAGGCAGCTTAATTTATGGCACTGCTAATGCTGCAGGGTTTTTTTTTTTTTTTTTTTTTTTTTTTAAGAAGATAGATTATGTTATTGAGTTATTTTTATCAATATTGCTAATGTTCTTTCTGGTGTTCTTCATTGTTGGGTGCCAGGGTTTTAGAAAAAAGTCAGCCGTGGGGCCCCAAAAAATAGCCTGCGAGATTTTAAACTCCAAACTCCTCTCCACTGGACATCCAGTCAAATGCAAATCCAAGTCCCTGTGGTGGAATCTCCTTTGGATGCTGTGTGTTTACCAGCAGAGTCCCCAGATCTGGGCCCTACACCTGTGCAGGTCCTTGATCTGCTGTCAGCCAGGTCGTCCGGCAGGAGGGAGGACACTCCCTCTGTGTCCTCCATCCCCAGGGGCTTGTATCCCCCCCCCGGGCTCCCTCATCAAATCAGAGGGCGCCAGATTCTCACAGGAGCTCAGGCCCTGCTCGCTGGATGCAGGGTGTGTTTCCTCCAGTCATCCCCTAACCATCCTCCCACTCATGTGTCTTGAAATATCGTCTTCCACGAAACCTGTGTGAAGGTCGGGGACTGGTGTTTTAGAGGATGGACTCTGCACTTTGCCAGTGCTGCATTCACAGGATAAGAGGGTTCATGATAAGAGGGGGAGTCCACGAGGCAGGGCGGCCTTTCTCAGAATAAGTGAACCCTGATGTCAGGGCCCTCATGCACCAGCCCGAAGCGAAGGCCTCAGAAGCCGTTACTCTCTCACCTCCTCCCACCCTCTCATAACTTACTAACCCCAAGCAATCACTGAGACCAGAATGCTGCTTCCCAAAGATGGACCCCGGGCACTGGAGCCTCCTGGGCCAACCCAGCCATGAATTCTATTACTCTAGACCCTCCCGATCCACATCAACAGGCCATGTGGTAGCTCCCTTACCTTACTTACTGACCAAATATAAGATCCCTGCTTTCCAAAGAGTCCTTCTGTGCCAAAAGGTAGGAGCACTGCAGAGTGACCGGGAAGCCCTGGACACATAGGTCCCACTGGGTTTCCTGTGGTCCACTCCCTTGAGCTCATGCCCTTCATGTTCAATCCTCTGTCTCTGCAGCTGTGCGTGCTTCAGCAGATCTAAGCAAAATGATGGACCATTTCAACCCCATGTACTGGATGTTCAGTGTGTCAGGCAAGACTGGGATCAAACAGAGGCACCCTGCTTGCCGCCTATGAACTTGTACTGTTACAGGAGAAGGCCCAGTGAGACTGAGTAACACTCAAGAGGGTGACCTCCCCATCAGCCCCCAGAAGGTGGGACCATGGAGTACTTAGAATCAGAGTCCTTGGGCTGCACAGATGCGCTGTTGCCAGTTAAACAAAACTGTGCCAGACAGTGTCCATGTCAGTTCCAGCAGTGAGGTTGATCAGCACATGGAGAGGCCCTACTGCAATGCTCTCTGCATTGTCCCCAGGCCCCGAAGTCTCCTCCAAAGTGGAGAAGACACACTGCTTCCTCAGTGTGCAATCTGCAAGCTGCTTGTGTCTGTCATGGGGCCAGCGCAGCACATTCATCAAATGATTCCTCACTGGAACTTTGAAACAACTCTTAAAAGACTTTGCTATTTTCAACAGCAATCTGATTAATCAATTTTCCTCTCTGTTATTCTGTGATTTATGATTTGTTTTTGCCATGCATTTTGAATTCTAAGTCTCATCAGCTAAACGACGTTCTTGGATCCTAACAAAGCATTAAATTACGTATTAAGAATGAAACAGCTCTCCCATTTCATCACAGGATTCACGTTCTCCTTTCTCTTGTTGTCTTTTGTGGGGTGGGTAGTGAGGAAAGAGAAAGAGCTAATACACGTCCTCCTTTCTCAGTATTGCTTTCCTTCCAGCTATGTCAATTTCTAGGTGGCTAGCACAGAGTTTATATCAGGGTTCCACTGGCAACCAAGCTAGGAAACTTACTTTCCACAGACGAGAGACCAGACCTTGTTTGGTGCCCGTAACAGAGTCTCACTTCAATCTCCTTGAACATCTGGGCATATTTTCTGGCCATGCAGAAATACTAGCAGTGCAGATTGCAGGAAGGGGGCTTCTGGGAAAACCCTGGAGTGCATGGACCTCTGGTGGAGCCGGGTTGGGGTGTCATGAGGGGAGAGGGGCATCTCGCTGCCTACTAGGTTGGAACTTGTCTTGCTTCTGAGGCAGATCCCGGCAGACTCAATGGGTGACTGTTCACCCTGGGCCTCATGATTCAGTGTGACCACGTTTATAGCATTTGTCCTCTTACTGAAGTGTGTTTGCAGTCTGTTTGAAATAGATTTTCTAGAGTTGGAATAAACATTTTTTGAGAAATTGAAAAGGAAAACGTTACAGTTAGTTCCTGCCCTAATTCCTTGGCATACCTGTCTGTGAGACTTCGGAGCAGTCACCTTGTAGACAGGAGGATGTGCGAGCTGTTCTCTGTCTCTACTGCTCGCATGCACACACATTCTGTGCCAGCCTTGGAAAGTCACAGCTGTCAGCTGCCATCACCCTGACTTCACCTGCAGCTCAAACTGTCCAGTAGCTCCTGCCTGCCATGGGCACGCCATGGCACCATCACCCCTCCCCTTCCTTCTGCGAGGTCACCCTCATATTACCTATAACTGTATAAGGTGCTTCTTTTGTTACAAGAGATCACTGTGGCCTCTTTAATTTCAGAGCTGCACTGTGAGTGGCGGTGGTCCCTCTGCGGTCCCTTCTCATACACTGCTGTTTTAGCTCAAAGCTCAAGAAATATTTTACACAAACAACAACCCTTTTAGAAGGTTTACCCATAGAGAGACTGGAGTCACACATGATCACACATCACCTGGCACTGATCGTGGTCCAGCTGTCATTGCACTGGACCAAGAGCGGGGACAGGACAGAGAACAGAACCCAGTAGGACCATGGCTGCTGTAGTTAATTCCGTATGTCAGCTGCACGGGGCCATGGGGCCTATGCAGTCTTAGCCGAAACCAATTTGGCACTGTGGTGCTGAGAAGCTCCAGGTGCTGTGGAGGCATGGTCTGTGTGGGGTTAGCAGGCAACATTGGAGGCTTGCAGTAAGGCAGGCTGGGCTCAGTCCTGTGCAGGGGCCGCTGCAAGTGGCTGAGAGCAGAAGAGCACAAGCAGAGTCCCTTCCCGGGGACTCCTGGAGAGAGGCAGCTGTGGAAATGCAGCTCTTATTTGATATTTTGAGGAAATTCCCTGCTGATTGTCACAGAGTTCTATTAGTCTGCACTCAGCAACAAGTAGAAGGGCTTCTTTCCCTTCACATTCTTGCAAGAATTCCATGGTTCCTGAGCGCTTGATAACTGCCATTCTTTCCAGGCTAAAATGAAACCTCAGTTTTATTTAAATTTTCATTTCTCCGATGATGAAAGGTGCTGAACCTTAGGGTGCATATTGGCCGTTTGTTCTTATCTTTCTTAGAATTATC